TACTGTTGGATATATCCTTAGGGTCAATTTAGTCTATTTGCACTGAATAGAAAGTAAAGATTCAAATGGTAGGTTTGGGGTAAAAAATGTGTCCAGAAAACTCATAAGGCTGACAATTCACACTCGCACCTTGCCTTAGATTCAAGGTTTGCAAATTGTTTGTTTTGTGTCTGGATGTTCTCCATTGTCGCTGACCAGCAGTGACTGCAGCACTGGGGGTTGCAAAAACACCAGTGTCACAAGGTCAAAGTTGTTCAGAGTTTCAGTGTGCATGGCTCATGTTTTTCAGTCTGTTAGTTCAAGATTTTAACTGGTTGGTGGTTTCAAACATTTTTTATTTTCCATAATATATGGGATATTCCTTCCCATTAAAAATGGTTGGTTAAACCACCAACCAGTTAAGACTTAGAACCTGTGTTTCCTCTTGGTTTTTCACAGTTCATCCAGAATTCAGTGGAAGAATCGCTGGTGAGCAAAGTTTTACCATCCATGGCGACCATCCCCAGGAAATCTTGAGGTGAATCGAATTCTGAAGATTTCTTCAACGTCTTTGGGATGTTTATTCAAAGGTGACCCAAAAAATTGATGGCTGAGGTGATTAGCCAAGTGGTTTCTCAGTACATGACAGATGATACGATCAGCCCTGAAGCGAGACGAGCTGTTTTCAGGCGCCCAGTTTCGACAAATCCTGGATCCCCCAGACACCAAGACAGCATCGGGATCCAACGGGAAAATATTTCTGGATTTATCTCTGGGTAAATTTCATCACGACCGAACCCTGTTCTCCCGAACCCTGGGAATCATGGTTTTTATATTGGAAATCATCCCCTTTTATGGCCGCCAGATTCAGGTTAGTGAAATATTATAATTTACCCAGATATATGGGATAATCATGGGGTTTTTCATTCAATGAATGATGGGATATGGGATGATCATCGAAACCCATGGAAGTCACCATGGTGGTTTCAATCCGACTTAGTCGTCTTGCATTTCTTGGATGATTTGGGATACCCCCATTCTAGGAAAGCAACATTTGGGTTGTCCCAATCTTCAAATGTGACTAAAGGCACTGACTGCTCAAATCTGATAATGCTGTATAGATTGGTACGGTTTATGATGGACCAAAAAGATATTGCCATCCCGAGATATGTTGCTTGTGGTTGGAAGGAACTGTCAAAAAGTGGCAAGAACATGTCCCGCGTTTGAGAATCCCCGGTGGTGTTTGCAGCCCGTACATGTGTGCAATTGCAGTATTGTGTGCGTGTGCGCGTATGTGGGTGTATAGATTATACATAATATATATATATATATATACACATATGGAGAGGGAGAGAGCGAGATAATGACATTATATGTGTATATATACATATATATATATACCATTATATACCTAGACCCTCAAAATACCACACACAAATGGTAAAAGTACGAAAATTATGAAGTAAAACAACGTTTTTATGGGTACTTGGAGGGTCTAGGTATACATATTATCATCCTTCTTCCTGGATTGTGTCCATGTTGCCAAGTGAGTGGCTGAGAGCAATGGTAGTAATCCAGCTATCTCCCCTTAAGCCTTACACAGACGGACATTCCCAGTTTTTATGAACTTAGACAAATGCGTGAATTTCACTCTCAATCGAAAAAACATCATCCATCAAATACTTAGACCTAGATGGCACTCCTGTCCCTCGAAAGAGGTCAGCTGTATTTTTATGAACATTGCTCACAGACACCGTGGACAATCATAAAGAAATCATGAACCGGATTCCTGATTGCACCCGTACATGTAACAGGCTCAAATTGTTCTGGAACAAAGCACGGACATCAATCAAATGGAAACTCCAAGTGTTCCACTCCATTCTCAGAAGTAGTTTGCTATGTGGATTAAGAAAGTGTATGAATCTAACGGATCAAAAGAACATAGATGGTTTCCAGATGAATGGATACCGAAGGATTCTGCAATCATCCCCCTACATACATCGACCGAAGAATGACAAATGACCGTGTCAAGTACTAAATTAGAAACCACCTGAACACAGACATAAGAATGTGTTCTTCCATGTAGTTACAACGTACCCTCTGGTAATTTAACATAGCTATGGAAAATGACCGTTTATAGTGGATTTTCCCATAAAAAATCGTGATTTTCCATAGCTATGTTAGTTTACCAGAGGGTACAACGTAAGATTTCACTTCCTTAAATTAGATCTGAACCTAACGACCCTATGAGACAAGTTCTGTTTGACAAGGGAACCTGAATACCCAGGCTCGAATTTTGTAAACATCCCAGGTTCGAATACAATGGTTGTCAGCAACATACGCGGATGTCTATCAAACCCTCAATCAACTACACCCATTTGACATGGACAACCCTGCGCATAGACAACTAGTCAACGACCTAGCTCTCGGGAGAATGAGAGTCTTTCATGATTCATCACCGAAAATCGTCACCGCAAATCGTCACCGGAAAGCAGAGGCCTTTCTCCAATATGCTCCATCGTAATTGGATTTATCAGTTATTTTCTCTTTTATATTCAAATTCCAATCATGCCTTCTTTGCTCTAGGCTTTGAAAATGTGCTGCAAGGTAAAGATAGTGTTCACATGTTTTCACCCTTGGCATGTTTCGCTGGATTCTGCGCTCAGCCGATTGGGCCTGCGCTTGTGCAAAAGATCTGACTATAGAAGGATTTATTCCAGGGTTATATATATATAATGATCGTGAAATAGTTGCTTTTGTTTGTTACATAATCCCAACCAAAATGGGAATATCTTTGAACACCCCATATTCATCCATATTCTAGCTAATGTAGGACATATATATATAGTATAGAAGAAGAAGAAGAAGAAGAATGCATGCTTAACAAGATGAGGCTTCTATAAACAAGTGCCTGTGTGGAGCAAGTTCTTGGCTTCTTTGGGGTCCGAAATATTTGTCGCTGCGTTCCTCTCTTTGCAAGCTTTTCTCCGGTCTCAGATTTGGTTCACCCTGGAATTGTCCGTGAACCTCGTGCAGTATTTCCATAAAAATCATCCTCTGTCCCTTGTCTTGCTGGGGTTCCATGTTACTTTCCGCTGCCAGGTACTATGGAACCTTTACGTCAACTTTTCTCACCATGTTTGAGGCTGGCTCGGTCACATTTTGTGCCAACAGAATGATGGAAACGCCACTTCTTGTACCATGCAGTATCATGCAGTGATCTAACAATATCTAACATGGCAACGGAAATTTTGGATGTTCCACTCTTTTCAAAGATGTTCAACTAATAACTAATAACTAAGGTAATTTCAATTAAATTTATGCAGTTTAATAGGTAATACATGGTAAACACAGCTTTGGAATGCAGTGGCTAATTCGAGGATCGATCCCCAGGGTTGCTGCAGATCCGCCATGATATCTACCATTCCGTGACCCGAAAGAATCAGTCATCGTGGATTGGTTACTCTCCCCGTGCTGATATCTTATTGAGTATATCATTGGGTTGAAGGGACATATATATATATATATATTATTTATAATTATATATTCATTATTTAATTGTATATTGTACCAAAAAGCCTTACATTTGGTCGATCAATGGACTTCGTTTAAATTTTCTTCATATCTTCGATTGTTTGCTCCATATCGTCCCATGAAACGCAGTGGAAACTCCCCCTGGCTGCCATGGTTTCCAGGTGCTACTCGCCAATTGGGCTCCAGCTGCCAGAATTTTGGACGCTCAGCCGGACTCAGCCGAGCATTTTTTGTTGGAGTCAGCTGTATGGCCAGTCTTCAAAACTATGATCATTCAAACTACCCTCTGGTAAACTAACAGTTTGCTATTGAAAATTGCCATTTATAGTTGATTTACCCATTAAAAATGGTGATTTTCCATAGTTATTCGTATGTTTACCAGAGGGTGCTTGTTTTTTTGGGGGATGGTTAAACCATGCAATTTTATGAGCATCTAAGTAGAGAAAATTCGGTGATAAAATTGGGGATATGTTCATGGCTGTTTTCAAGGGATCATGAACCACAAAAAAAACGACGAAACATGAGTGATGAAGCGACAAACATGGGTTTATGTCATGGGGATATATCTAGATATATCCCATATGAACCGCTTTCCGAAAATTGACAAGCTTATTATTCAACGGGGTGGCTCAATCACCAACGATGCCTTGGCCCTGAGACTTCTCGGGGCTTCACTATTTGGCTGATGAAAATTCATGATCGGCGGTCCTGAAGCCTTCATTTTTCTGGGATAAAAAAGTTCTAATTGAATCTAATTAATTGAGCAAAAATTGATTCAGACATCATCAACCATTGCCATTTTTAGTACATCAACCTTCATATTGCGGGGTTATTTTTTCTGGCCATAGCCTGCCATCGATTTCCTCCCTCTCGAACAGAAATTATATTCATAATATGGTGATCTCAGCTGCCCACCCACGGAACATGTCCACAGGTGGACAATGTCAGTGACATCTGGGTCTATGTCTTCGTGGTCTATCGTTGTGTGGTGCCTATGGCTGCATTTCTTGATGTGCCAAAAATATCCAAAAATACCATCCTGGCAAAAACGACACAGTGAAATGATGTGAAGATGTGAAGATGTGAAATGAATGCTGCTGGCTCAGATGCTCCATGTATGAACCAAGATGAATCAATTATACACAAACGAGTTTGAAGAACAGACTCATGTGGGATCATTATGTATCTTAATGAACTTGTGGGATACCAAATGAGTTTAATCATTATACACATATGTATCTTTTTGCAAAACAGACTAACAAATAAAATCAGATCTCTATTGTTTCATTCGGACACCTACATGCTGGGTCGTTTTGAAGGTACATATTAAGGCCCTCCAACTCAGCAATCCCTACGATGACTAACGTGATTAATGACAAGCACATTCCGAAGGGTTGGAATCAAGTGTCCAATCCTCGATTCGAAATCCCGGTGAAACTCTGGCTGAATCTTGCCATGATTTTTTACGGTCAAACACCGTTTTTGAACCAATGCTACTGGATTAGTTTGAATGCTCAACTGACCCCAAAGGAGGTCCAAGAGCAGGCAAACAGTGCTTTGATATGCCTTCATTTTGTTCAAACACAGGTCAAACATGGTCAAACATAGGTTGAAATAGGAGTTATTGCCGTTGTTGCCATCCATATCCATACGGTCCATATGTATGAATTGTATGAACATGTATGAACATACCAGCAGATTAGATATCCATACATGTTACACATCCTGTTCAAGTTCTTGTTTTCCCCTTGATTTTCGTTCGCGCTCCCTTCTGCGTTTGAAACCAAGGTGGGGTTCGCCATTCTGAACGTGGCCTCTTGGCCTCACTCTCTCCATCAGACATTGTTTTCAGGGTCCATATGGAGGTTTCCTAAAATAGGGGTACCCCCAAATCATCATTTTTAGATTGGGATTTTACATTAAAAAAAAAAAAACATCCAGTTTGGGTAGCCCCATTTATGGAAGCCTCCAAATGTCTATATGATTCTATATGTTGGTTTTCTGCAGGGTACGGTAAGTCTCAACGAAATGCTGAAGATGCGTAGGAACTGAAGATCGAAGTCCAACCGGTTCAGGGTTGAACATGGACCCAGAATGGGGAAATCTGGCTCAGCCTTTTCCATCAGCCATTGGCTCAGACCAGGTGAGGCAAAGTAGACTCGCCCCACATGAGTCAGCGTTTGCGCCATACCATGGCTGCAACACACGCACCCAAGGAGCCTTGGCAGGTCTGTCATCCCAATGTGACTTGAAATGTGATGTATGTTTGCATGGAAACCCTGAAAACAGGCGATGTTCAATTGTAACATGATTTTCGCATGTTTGACATTGCCATTTTTAAGTGCCAATATTATATATATATATATAAGAAAAAGCAAGAAGTAAAGTTAAACTGTATAGATTTGTGATGAATGTAGAACCAGCATCACAATCCGCTAACATCGTCACGGGTGAAAGCAGTTTGTTTTTGTAAAGCCCGTAGGCTGTGTGTTACCTGGGTATCGCATCAATCCCCAAAGTTTGAGTAGAAACGCATATCGGTTCCTATAGAATTTTGGTTCCAACCCACAATTTGGAAATTCTAAGCAAAGTTGTTTAAGCAGAGTTGGAACCAAATTTGGATTATCGTTGTTCATCTTGGTTCAGAAATCATTTCTAGTGAACTATGTTTTGATTCTTATCATTATAACTTTAGTTATTAGTTATTGGGATTATAAAGCAACTTGTAACTGGGGGCCACCATATTTTTTTCAACGTCACTTCCCTACCTTGTAAGCCTCTCAGGAACAGATCTTGGGCCGCTCGGGTGACCATTTGGACATTGAGATGAGGCCGCGACGCAGCGGCAACCGAGTGCTTCCTGCACGGGAGGAGAAGTTGAGAAAACGATCTCTCAAGGAACAGCTGTGGCATGGTTGGCATGGTTGTGTTTTTGTTGTGTTTTTGTTGTGTTCATCAATGTCAACCCTGGATTCAGATAAAAACATTTTTGAGGCTGTTGGTGAAGACCATTTGGTAGCGAATAGTAGTCATCTCTTTTTGATAAGCCAGCCTTAGTTAGTCAGGGTCCAGGGTCTTTTTTTATCCGAGGTTGACAAGGTGTCATTCTTGGTTTCGGTGATCCCCCCAGACTCGTCCACATGTTCCCATGGTGCTGATCTGTCGAGGGATTGATGTTCCCATCATTTTCCGAGCCAGTTTTCCCATTCTCCAGTGAGGTTGATTTGGCTTCAGGGTGAAGAACTCTTTCAACGAAGTTCCCCTTTGGAGCAGAGTATCACCTACTCCATCTTCAGTATCTCGGGATGGCTAATCCATGTTAATCCGCTCATCAGCCTATTGAAGGGCCTTTCCTAAACTGAGACGGGGAAAATCATCCACGCTCTTTGTGTTGATGTAATAAGGAGATTTTGGAAACAATGTGGTAATTAAAGAGACCCTCATGGAAGTGACCTTACCCAGAGCTACATGAGAGAGTTTACAAGAAGGTGGATGAACCGGAAATGTACATTTGATACCTGTCGCAGGGTTCAGGGTCCTGACCGTGAGAATTCAGACTCGAGATCTCCTTTCTTGATCTTTTGCTCCTTCCCTGCAATTCAGTCAGTCCTGTCATTGAATATCATTACCCCTGGCCATCCCCACAAGGATCCACGAGGCGATCGTATAATAGTATACGCCCTGGCCATCCGGGAATGCACATGATCCCGGGAATGCACATGATCAATCCCCATCATGTTCTAATTTGATATGAGCTTAGTCTAATTTAATATCACAGATATGGGAAATTGGCGGACCTTCGTTACTTCCCCAGCTTGCTGTTAGGTATTCTTTGTCTATGCGTGTGCTTCACGGTGTTGCAGAGCTTCCTGTTTGGCAGCTGGGCAAGAAATAGGTTCCCAGAATTACATAGAATTCCTGGATCCATTTTTGTCCCTTGTTTTTGAACCATGACGATCCAACAATGAACGGACAGAAGAGTGGCACAAGATCCTTTAAAATCTTTTAAAGAAGGGAAATATGAGTGGCTACGATTGCGTGTCGAAGTAGTGAAGGCCTTTTTGGTGGTATGATGTGAAAATACATTGAGACTATGAGACAATTTCGGACAAAGACACACGGTGAAAAACAACGAAAGACACGGTTGGCAACTTGAATTGAAAGACTGCCAGAATGTTTCTAGGCAAACATCAATAAAAAGAAGTGCGTCGGACAGCGTCACAACCTGGACAGTTTTTTCCCCTGGAAACGATCACCAACCTGGAGCCTGTTGACAAGATCCGTGGTTAGTAATCTGTTGTGGTGTCACCCCTCACAACTGACGATTTTCACGGGTATGATCCTACGGGTTACTATACCCAGTTGTCAACCACAATCCTATCTTCCACTGGTATGATCCTGGAAGTAAATGTGAAGTAGATGAGGTAGCCAATGATCTCCCTATCTCCTGATAAAAAAGACATGATTTGTGGGGGTGACATCAGCCAGTTTCTATAGCAATTTACCCTCTGGTTATTTAACATAGACCCTGAAAACATCTGAATTCAGACAAGTTTGCCAGTACCAGAAACTACCCTCTGGTGAACTAACATAGCAATGGAAAGATCCACCATTTTTAATGGGAAAATCCACTATAAATGGTCATTTGCAATAGCTATTTTGACATAACCAGAAACTAATCTTCCAACCCCCAACTTATGGCAGGGTCAAGTTGTGTTACCGAGGTAACGCCTGCGAAGCTTCACCGGCTGATGGCCCTGGCGTTACCGATGGAAGCCGACCCTACCTGCGGGGAGGCGACATAGCGGTGTGACCGGGAAAAAAGAGGCGTCCATGCAGTGTGCCACATGCTGTTCCCTCTGGTAAACTAACATAACCATAGAAAAATCACAATGTTTAATGGGTAAATCAATGTAAATCAACTATTTCTATGGCCATGTTCAATAGCAACCTGTTGAATTACCAGAGGGAAACTAAATAGCCTCTGGTAGTTTGAGGTATGGAAAAACGCCATTTTTGACAGACAATATCATCATAAATCATAGGTGTGGAATATCATAATATCATCAAACACCATAATCACAATATTATAAAACACCATTACCATAATATCATAAAACACCATAATCATAACATCATCATAAATCATAGGTTTGGAATATCATAATATCATATAAAACAATAATCATAACATCATAAAACACCATAATCATAGTATCATAAAACACCTTAATCATAGTGTCATAAAACATCATAATCATAATATCATAAAACACCTTAATCATAGTGTCATAAAACACCATTATCATAATATCTTTATAAATCATCTTAAATCATCTATCGTATTCTGGGCCATGGTTTCAGCGAAATCACCAGGCTGGAATTGGTTGCCATGCCAGGAATCCGGAGGATCATCCAGGCAACCAAGAAGTCCCATGATGTTTGTCGCATTTATTTATAATTTCAAAATTTCAATCACACTATATCTAAATAATATTTATATATATATACATATATTATATATATATATTTATTTATTTATGTATTTAGATTTGGGTTACACTTGATGTTACCCACTTAACAGTTCCGGTAAAAGCGGATCGCTGATATGGGGTCAAGTTCTATGGTCCTATAAAGGTCCACTGGTGACAGGATATCGCAAGCATTGTGCTTTTTGGCCAGATATATATATATATGGTTTTGGCCGAGAAAAACTTCTCTTTTTTCGGCATTCAAAGCTGTTTTGTTTAATCGGTGGCAGGTCAGAATGATGATGGAATACGTGTGGGGTCGGGCAATGGCTGGCTTTAACGGCGAGTCTCCTGAGGAGTTGTCCCTTAATCGTTTGTCAGTAGAGTCCCAATCGTTTTGAAGATATCCCCCATTCTTGTCGGTCGAGTCCACTTTTTGCAATGTTTGTTAAGGACTATATATATATGTATATATGAACATATAGTAAAGTCATATTTTTGTTGACCAGGTTCCATTCTTGGTTGAGTATTTGTCCGTTTTTGTTGGTTAAATTACCAAGCTTGTTGGGAATGTGATAAGCGACCCCGAAAACTGTTTCCAAAAGATGCATTGGACTCTCGGTATGGTTGTGGACGAGATGCTAGCCTTAAGTTTCTGGGTGAACAAAGCTCTTTGGGTTTCCAGATACGGCAGTGCTAGGTCCTTTTGACATCTTTTTTGTTGACCACGTAGGTGCGACTCGACTTGCTTAGGTACTGTCTTACAGTAGGACTGGGTAACTAAGCAGTGCTTCCGCTGTTTCTTTGGGCTGGCTGGGTGGAGCGCTGCCTTCTGACTTGCGCCGTTTCGGCGCCGCGCATTGCACATGCAAAAGTTCTCACTCTGTCTGTGTATTGTTCTTTCTTTTTGTTCTTTTCTTTTATTTTTTAATTCTTCCTTTTACTCTTGGTTTATTTTCCCCACCTGTCAGGTGAGGGTTTTGGATTTTATGTCAGCTGGCCTCCTCCTCCTTCTCCTCCTTCTCCGCCGGACCTCAACTGCAAGCTCGTGATCGCAGTGGTCCCTGCTGGACCCGAACAGCAAGCCCAAGATCAGAGTGTTCCCCGCCGGACCTCAACTGCAAGGGCGAGATCCCAGTGGTCCCTGCCGGACCCAAACAGCAAGCCCAAGATCAGAGCGTTCTGCTGCAGAAAGCATAGGGCTTACAAATTGAGCTTCAACAAAGCATCTTTCTGTTGGAGGAATCTTGAATTCTCTCTGATATTGTCTTCAGTCGGGGAAGTGGACAAGAAGGGGACGAGAGAGAAGTGGAGGGAAGGGGACAAGTTCCGTGCTCTTGTCCACATTGCTCTTAGGAGTGTTTGGGGTTTATAGACAACTGTACAAACCCTCAGCTACAAGTCCCATTGCAAGACTCACAGCATTGTGTTATCTGAAGCACAGTCTTTTGCGAGACAGATGCCCAGCTAACTCTAAAATTCATTTCATTCCACCTGGCGCCGGTTGTTGGCTCATATTTGATCCGTCAAACCGAATCATGTAAATGCCAGATAGAATGTCAGAATAGATGTCAAATAGAAAGCCCGAATGCCAGAAGGAATGGCAGATAGAATGCCAAAATAAATGTCGGATAGAGTGTTAGGTAAAATGTCAGAATACATGTCCAAATATATGTCTTGAAATGCCATGGTGGAGATCACTCGAAGTAAAGTAATATTAAAGGGCTACGCCCTCTGCCGCCGACCCCTGGACACTGGAGGGTCATGCCTGCCTCTGCGTCGTAAGCATATTGGGCAGAAACTCCAATTAAGCCTCTGTACTGAGGCGATCTGAAGCGTGAATGCAAGTTTGGACGAACACAAAGCTGTTGCAACGGCGCCATGTTGTGGACTTTTGCTTATGGGAGTGCCTCTTAAAAGGATATGAACTCATATCAAAGCATCAATGAAAAGACCAAACTGATTCAATGCATTATGCGACATGACATTCAAGATCACATTTTATCAAAGCATCAATGAAAAGACGAAACTGATTCAATGCATTAGTCGACATTACATGCAACAGCACATTTTATCATCTCATATATATTGGGCATCTTGGCAGCTGAAAGAGTGCATCAACACATATCAATGACTTCTTCTAGCTTCCAAGCCCGTAGAGAGATAGAGAGAGGGTCATGGCGGCCTCTTTCTGTGAAAAATCTCAGCGCAAGGGCAAACCATCAAAGAAGGCGTGCTGACCGATCTTTGTATCGGCCCAATGGGCAACCCATTCACGGTTTACGTCGCAATCACCAGCGTCCAAGGCCGTGAGAAGCAGCTCATCTTCCACCCCTTCGACGCCGCGCCATTCCAAAAGGGAATCGGTCTGGGCCGGGACCTTCTTCTGCGACACCTCCGCGGCGACGCCATCGACTGGCAGGCGTTGCTCGCAACGTGTGCAAGCTGTGGCATGTCGAAAACAATTTTCCAGAGAAACATCGGCAACGGCAATGTAGTTTTTTCCGTGTGTGTTTGACATGCGAAGTCAAGAAACCATGTTTCAAATGTGGGGTTCCCAAGCCAGAGAAAGACTATGGCCCTGCCACCTGGAAAGCTCGCAATGCTGACCGACGCTGTTGCCGCGACTGTGTCCTGAAGCTGCGGGGGTATTGGTCCTGCGCCGAATGCTCAGAGCGAAAACCACATGCAGAGTTTAGTGCTTGGCAAGAAAGCCGCGATTACATTCAAAGCACGCAACTTTGCAACACGTGCATCAGCTTGGCCTTGGTGTGTCAAATTGCGCGTCGCGCGAACCAACGGTTGACACCGCTACGGCGGCGCGAGCAAAGTCGACGGCAACAGGCCATCATAGACGAAGTGCGTCAAGAAATTTTGGCAAGGACCAAGCAGAAAACCACGATTGCACCCACCCCAGAAATGCAAAGCTGCAAAGAGCGACTGCCAGATTGCGCAACGGGTTCCTTGAGTCCTGAGGCTGCCACTGCAGACGCCGCCAGCCAGGACGAACCGTGCCCGCCAGAGCCGGCTGCGACAACGAAGACCGGCAAACAGATGCGCGGGTACCAATGTCCATTCTGCCAGCAACATGTGAACAGCACTATCGAAACTGGGCAAATTGATCATCGGTATGCGTGCGGGAATAAGTTCCGTGTCGCTGGCGGCAATGTCACCGGCCGCATTCACAAGCACGCATGCCCAACCTGCCTGCCGCCGGGAAAGGTGGACCGTCACGGCACCGCTGCACCAATAACACTGCTAACCCCCAACTGACGTGTGACGTCTTGCAGCTGGCTTTCGTCTTGCACAGCTCCGGTCCAAGGACCCTCGCGCAGGGCCAAAACACCAAAACACCATGGCAATGAAGGACGGATCGGGCCCGCGGCCCGTAGCCCAGAAGGCCAAACCTCACTTTCTGAACCGACTAGAAACTAGCTCCAAGCCTTGCCTTTGCCTGCCAACTTTCATCCTGCACAGCTCCGGGCCAAGGACCCCCTCGCAGGGCCAAAACACCATGGCAGTGAAGGACGGATCGGGCCCGCGGCCGGCAGCCCATAGTGCCAAACGTTGCTTTCTGAACTGGCTAGAAACTAGCTTCAAACCTTGCTTTTTCCTGCCGTGACTCTGCTTGCTAACTTTCATCCTGCACAGCTCCGGGCCAAGGACCCCCCCCGCAGGGCTAAAACACAGCCTTGACTCTGCCTGCCAACTTTCATCCTGCACAGCTCCGGGCAAAGGACCCCCTCGCAGGGCCAAAACACCATGGCAGTGACGGACGGATCGGGCCCGCAGCCGGCAGCCCATAGTGCCAAACGTTGCTTTCTGAACTGCCTAGAAACTAGCTTCAAACCTTGCTTTTTCCTGCCGTGACTTTGCCTGCTAACTTTCATCCTGCACAGCTCCGGGCCAAGGACCCCCTCGCAGGGCCAAAACACCATGCATGACAGTGAAGGACGGATCGGGCCCGCGGCCGGCAGCCCATAGTGCCAAACGTTGCTTTCTGAGCTGCCTAGATTAGAAACTAGCTTCAAACCTTCCTTTTTCCTGCCGTCATTTGCTTGCTAACTTTCATCCTGCACAGCTCCGGGCCAAGGACCCCCCCGCAGGGCCAAAACACAGCCTTGACTTTGCCTGCCAACTTTCATCCTGCATAGCTCCGGGCAAAGGACCCCCCCGCAGGGCCAAAACACCATGGCAGTGAAGGACGGATCGGGCCCGCAGCCGGCAGCCCATAGTGCCAAACGTTGCTTTCTGAACTGCCTAGAAACTAGCTTCAAACCTTGCTTTTTCCTGCCGTGACTTTGCCTGCTAACTTTCATCCTGCACAGCTCCGGGCCAAGGACCCCCTCGCAGGGCCAAAACACCATGGCAGTGAAAGACGGATCGGGCCCGCGGCCGGCAGCCCATAGTGCCAAACGTTGCTTTCTGAACTGCCTAGAAACTAGCTTTTTCCTGCCGTGACTTTGCCTGCTAACTTTCATCCTGCACAGCTCCGGGCAAAGGACCCCCTCGCAGGGCCAAAACACCATGGCAGTGAAGGACGGATCGGGCCCGCAGCCGGCAGCCCATAGTGCCAAACGTTGCTTTCTGAACTGCCTAGAAACTAGCTTCAAAAAAGCAAAGTTCCTGCGTGACTCTGCTTGCTAACTTTCATCCTGCACAGCTCCGGGCCAAGGACCCCCCCGCAGGGCCAAAACACAGCCTTGACTTTGCCTGCCAACTTTCATCCTGCACAGCTCCGGGCACAGGACCCCCTCGCAGGGCCAAAATACCATGGCAGTGAAGGACGGATCGGGCCCGCAGCCGGCAGCCCATAGTGCCAAACGTTGCTTTCTGAACTGCCTAGAAACTAGCTTCAAACCTTGCTTTTTCCTGCCGTGACTTTGCCTGCTAACTTTCATCCTGCACAGCTCCGGAACACAGCCTTGACTTTGCCTGCCAACTTTCATCCTGCACAGCTCCGGGCAAAGGACCCCCTCGCAGGGCCAAAACACCATGGCAGTGAAGGACGGATTGGGCCCGCAGCCGGCAGCCCATAGTGCCAAACGTTGCTTGCTGAACTGCCTAGAAACTAGCTTCAAACCTTGCTTTTTCCTGCCGTGACTTTGCCTGCTAACTTTCATCCTGCACAGCTCCGGGCCAAGGACCCCCTCGCAGGGCCAAAACACCATGGCAGTGAAGGAGCAGGCAGCCCATAGTGCCAAACGTTGCTTTCTGAACTGCCTAGAAACTAGCTTCAAACCTTGCTTTTTCCTGCCGTGACTTTGCCTGCTAACTTTCATCCTGCACAGCTCCGGGCCAAGGACCCCCTCGCAGGGCCAAAACACCATGGCAGTGAAGGACGGATTGGGCCCGCAGCCGGCAGCCCATAGTGCCAAACGTTGCTTTCTGAACTGCCTAGAAACTAGCTTCAAACTTTGCTTTTTCCTGCCGTGACTCTGCTTGCTAACTTTCATCCTGCACAGCTCCGGGCCAAGGACCCCCCGCAGCTGCCAACTTGCCTGCGTCCTCTTGCAGCTGGCCTTCGTGCTTTCCGAACTGCCTAGAAACTAGCTCCAAACCTTGAACTTTGCCCCCTTCTGCTTTTCTTCTTGCTTGTCCAGTTTTCTTTCTTCGCCCCTTGTTGCTAGTAAGGCCTCCTCTGACGCGCTCCCCCTGCTGGCGGCAGGGGTCGGCGGATTTTCTGGTTTTCCTTCCTTTCTTTCTTCCTTCCTCTTCTCTCTCTCTCTCTCTCTCTCTCTGTGCAGCAAACCTGGGCGCTGCGCATGCCAAAGTCCATCATCAACGGCAAACTGAGGTTAACGCCGTTTTCATCCAGCAGACCATGCGCGTGGCACAAGCAGATCAAGAACTGATCATCAAACAGCGGATCAGCTGCCTGACAGCAGTTGTGGTTTCAGATTTGAGGGCATATATAATAGTCCCAAATGGAGGTTTCCTAAAAGGGGTGGTACCCCAAAATGGATGGTTTAAAACGGAACATCCTTTCGAAAATGATGATTTCAGAGACCTCCAAATTGGCAATTCAAATCAAAATGAAGATTAACACATTTCAAACAATTGGTTTAATGGGGTATTATAACTGTTGTAACACTAAGATTTAACTAGCCAACATGGGGATTCAGCCAGTCAACATTGGGATTTACAGTATGCATCTAAGATGAGGGTATAAGACCCATCAAAGATGTGGAATATGTCTAATGAAGAATAGAAATTGATAGTACCAAACCGAACCGTTTTTGGTGATAATATTGGTGTTGTTTCAGATTGAGGCTAGCAAATTTGGATTCAACCCCACTAGCGTGTGTAAATTTGAAATATATTATATCAAATGAAACACCAAATATGTGGCACCTGATATTTGGGTATGTGTTGAAAAGGCTACGCTGCATACCCAAAAATTGCATAATTGATTATAAGTGTGCTTTGCAGAAGGGGAACTTACAAATCTTATAATATGACACTAATTTGAGGGATATTTCTATTTTTGGTCAACCCGAATTTTCCTGCGCCACTTGGGATACCTCCTGGCGAACTGTGCTGGAATGGTTTGAAACTGAGAAACCACCGCAGCTTACCACCAACCGGATCATATAGCACCGTAAAAATTAGGATGAACATGATGAAATTTGATAAAACCAATAAAACTTGGCAAATCTGGGCAATAGAATTTCTAAGGGACTGACCTGTGCGAATAAATTTGTCATTTCTATAATTAAACCAACTTCAGTGTTTTCATTCATCCCAAATTAACACTGGTTGTTTGATATAAAACAGGTTTCTTATCCCCAAAGTTTCCGCAATCATTTTCTTGAAACCATGACAAACGATTTTCAATACTAAGGCACTCAGCCAGGTTTGTTTTGCAGGGAGGCCACCGGAACCAACATGCTCCAACTGTTAAGAGTCTGATTGCAGACCAAACAAGTGTTCCAAATGCAACGGTTTACAATTACAACAGGTACTAAATCAATGGAGGGAGGTCGCCCTGGATGTTCATGAGTGAAAACCATATACATGTCTTACATTTCCTTGGGATCCAAATTCCTCCAAACGATTATCCATATATTAATAGCAGGAAGGAAGAAACACGTGCCCATGAGTGTAGTTTGCACTATGTCGAATGGCCGCCTTGAATAAATGGATCAAACAACGCCAAAACCATGGCACCTTGAATTTTGTGGCTCACAAAACCATGCGACTGTGGCTGTGTTGACACTGGAGAACACCGATGTGGCCTTTTTTGTTTTCCACCATGAATATTATGGGGATCCGAGAAGGTCCCATCATTATTGCAAGAGATACATGTCCATCACGTGATAGTTTGATGTTCCAAACGACAAGACCATGCAGCCAGTGCATGTTGTTTTTGCGTTTGTTTTTGCTGGTTAAACTTTAATAAACTGTTATGCCTCTGCTGTGCCTAGTATCATATAGATTCATCTAGCCTATATATATATATATATATAAATTTGCTAATGTTTGGACGCGAAGTCATACATGCACATCCCCATGTTTGGTTGCTGAATGTGTCGTTGGTGGTGACATCCCTTGTGATTTTGCATTTTTTGTTTACATATATATATATATATATATATATGTATACATACATATTGTCCTCACGTTTCTTTGTTGCTCAATTTGGTTTGTACCAAACTTGGGTCAACCTTGGGGTGCCATTCAGAACTGCACTGGTGAAGTGTCGTCAACAAAAACAACTGCACCGGTTTAAGCCTGGCCCGTCATCACAATGGAAAACTGCAACATTTGGGATGACAATGATGAGCACCTTCAGACACTCAGACCCCCGTCAGATGGGATTCCTCTAAGGGGCCGAATCAGCTTATGCCTCCAAGATGCGTCTCTCGGCGGAGGAAACCTGGGAACACCGGGGACCATCCTTGAAGGGCCCTTGCAAAGAGATAGCCAATGTTATACCGGCAGAGAGGATGAAAGTTGAAGATTGACTAAGCTTGACCCAAGAAAAATTGCAAGTTTCATCAGCGGATTTTTTTCGATCACTCGGGATTTATGGAGAATTGAAGCCACAGAAAGTGACCTGTCAATGAAAGGACAAGACAGACACAACATTTTGAGTCAATAAGAACAGCTGGGTTTTCGACCACCAACAAGTTGTGAGAAATGCGAGGACAGGTCAAGATCTATGACCATCTAAGTCACAAGTTTGATTTGTTTCAGTCTCAGCTTTCCAGTCAGGGTATATGAGTTAAACCATGTCAAATTCACTCTTGCAGATGCAAAATCCTTATGGCGTTCAGAACCCCAGGGGTATTGTGAAGAAATTTAGCAGTAGTACTCTGATTTGTGGTTTGGAACATTTTTTATTTTTTCCATATCTTGGGAATAATCATCTCACCTGGCTTTCATATTTTTCAGAGGGGTAGGTATACCACCAACCAGTACTGATACTCACTGGTTGGTAGCTTTAATGATGTGTCTTCTTCATTCCGAACTTGGACGAGTTTCTCCTCAATGAGTTTCATATGTCGCAAGGAATTTGAGTGGCCAGTTGTGCCAAAAAACGTTGGATCATCGCCTTTGATTTTCTTATATATATATATATATTATATAATACACATCTCTGTCAGCTCATAGGTTTTGATTTTCATATTATATATATATATATATCTATCTATACATTTGTATAGATAGATTTGCACTCCAGAAATACGTAGTTGGAGTTTGTGTCTATTGTTCCATTTCCCCGTGTATATTTGATATATATATATATATATGTACAGTATATACAATTATATATATATGTACATACACATATTCACCATGTATTTTGATCATTTTTGATGCCTGGTCCAGGTCAATTTTTCGAAAAGTTGGACAAGAATCATTCGGGCTTCCTCACCTGGCAGGCACATTAACAGAAAAGTTTGGACCGCTGGAACAGTAACGAAGATGGATTTGGTGGTAAGGGAAAACCTATAGGAAACCATGGTTTTTTTTATCATCAAATATAGGGGGTTCCTGTAAATGTTCTCATCATCCAATTCTGTGATAACAAAAATCATATGAGTTTGCTATTGCCCATATGCTCCATGTATGGTATATTTACCAACATTTGCCCTAAAAATCACCCAAATGTAGGTAAATATACCATACATGGAGCATATGGGTTATGCTATTGGAAACAGTTCTCGGCACCCATTTTTTGTCGGCATTTCAATGGATTATTAAGATACTCAGAGGGTTGGAGACCTTGTTTCGAGAACAGGCTGCATCCTTTGATTTTTGGGAAGCCCTTGGGTGCCACCATGAAAACATCGAGACCTTCGGAAAGAATGATGATTCAATGTCCATACCTAGACCCTCCAAAATACCACAAAAAAATGTTAAACATATTTAAACATACTAAAAATAAGGGAGATAGGGAGTAAAACTCCCTTTTATGGGTACTTGGACCATTGGAGGGTTTAGGTGCATGTCTTTGCTGATCTTTATTCAAAGAGATATAGGTCCTGGAAGTCTGATACAAGGGAAGCAACCACAGCACGAAGAGGATAAGATGTGATAAGATATCCGTTCCGGTGGTACTGTTGAGGATTAAGATATCCGTGTTTTTTTCCACTCCAAAAACGATGAATGATGGGTCACAACAGGGTACACCCAAATGGCAGAGCTTTCCACTCTCTCAACACCAGACCATTTATGGTTCGCAGGGGCTCAAAATTTGATACAGGTAGCCATAACATATGAGAGCACCACAAGGTTGCGAAAGAAGCTGTCAAAATGCCGGTCATGATACTGTAAAAACCCTGGTTGTTGCTAGTACCCTCTGGTTATGACTAACATAGCCATGGTATAGACGGCCCATAGAAATAGATGATTTTCCCAGCTAGAACCCTCCATTTATAAGGGATTTTCCATGGCTATGTTAGTCATAACCAGATGGTAATGCTTGGCTGCGTGGTGAAATCTAGCTGGCAAAAGCCACCTGTTTCCTCATGTTTGTACATATAGAGGAGGATAATGTATAAAGGTACTTGACCTGTATTATATTCAAAATTATTTTTTTGACAATGTCAATATCACTTGTATCATAACAATACATATGTAATATAATATGTATGTATATATATATATATATCGATCATCATACCTGGAACCGGACCAGAAATCATATCTGGAACCCAACCGAACAACCAGTACGTAGGGGTTCTACACCACCCTAGGCCGTAGGGAAACATGTTTTTAATTTCTGGTTCTCTGGGGTTCCATGTAACATCATGTAACTGTCATTGTTTTCCGCCCGAAACAAAACACATGTAGAATTACAGATTAAGATACATCAATCAAAAAAAAGATATCACCACAAACATCAGCGGTTTTAAAGGCCATTTTGAGCGTGCCAAACAAAAACAGGATGATAATTCTACAGTCCTGGTTTCCACCCATCGATGATTTCCCAGTTTGAAACCTCCATCGGGTACCCGGGGAGTTCCCCACCGGTTTGTCTGTTCATCAACATTCCATAAAGAAGTTCCATATAAAATCTATGCCATTTCCATTTTCCATTAATGGTTTCCATAGTTTTCATACTTCCCTTAAGTCACCCCATTTGTTTCTGTCCAACCACACCGTTGCCACGAGCCGCGTCGTTCTCCATAGGACTTCAATGCGGCCTTGCAGCAACCGGAGCTACGTAGCTGGATGGCCACTTTGGATCTGGAAACCTACGAGCCTTCGGCGGGAAAAAAACGTTTTTATTGATGGTGAATTGATGGTTAATTTTACTATAAACAATGGTGAATTGATGGTGAATTGATGGTGAATGGTTAATCACTAGTCTATTTAATGATGGTGAATTGAATGATTGATGATGATGGATGATGGTTAATAAAAACTTACTGGTGCGTGCGTGCTTTTTACGCAGGGAATTTTCGGGAATGATCCACTGGCTAACTATCAATAATCATCCCAGCAACCCCCAGCAACCCATCCATTCCCTACGTAAAAAGCACCAGTAAGAAAAAGGGGATTTGGTTGGTGGTTTGGAAGATGGCTTTTAACCAATCCATCCAATCCATCCAATTAACTACTGTAATCTCATATCTGGTTGGTGGTTTGGAACCATGGAATTTTATGACTTTCCATTCAGTTGGGAATAATCATCATCCCAACTGACTTTCATTTTTTTCAAAGGGGTTGAAACCACCAAAAAAGTGGGATTGGTTTCTAGGAAAAGAGGCCCCAAGATGCTGAAAAAAAAGCCGACGACCTAACCTGATGTGTTTTGTTCATTCTTGGGGCTTGGTTACCAGAGGTAAATGGAAGGTTAGTGAGAGATTTTAAGGGGATATCATACCAAAATATAGCAAGAGTTGGCATCCTTACGAGTAAACAATGGGGGTTGCAACGCATACCTACTTACCCACCCATATAATTCCATATGATTCCATATATATATAGATGTACATAGATACAGAATGGTACGTGAGAGGCAGCACTCTATGAATTTCATGTCTCATGTAGTTTTTATGATTGAGAAGTCGTGTGAGTTTTTCGCTTGCGTAAATGAGACGAGTCGCTACTCAGATGACTTTGCGATCCGTGGGATGATCCTGAAAGATGGAAGCGACATGGGGTTATCACAGAATTGAACAATCATGTTACCAATGAAGAAGAAACATTAATAACTCACTTTTTTTGTATGTTTACTATATGTGGATGTGAAACAGGATGTAATATGATGTAATGGGTTTTAGCTATGGGAACTATGGGGTATATAACCAACAAGAAGGGTTTTCAATACCAGCCATAATTGAGGATACGGTTGGGAACAATGGGTTCCAAACAACAACATAGCATAGACCCTGAAAAGCGCTTATAACAAGAACCACCCCAAATTGGCGGGATCTCTGTTAGTTGGAGGGATGGTGATGGATAATCTTAGATAGTAGATAATGAAGGGAGAATGATGGGATAATGATGGGACGATGATTGGATAGTGATGTGAGATTAATGAGATAATAATAATACAATAATGATGGGATAATGGGGCATCATCGCCAGTGGATAATCCATGGATAATGTTAACATTCTAACGGATATGGTGGAGAACGTTGCTAGCGTGACTGTTGAAGAGAAATGATCTAAAGAACGGCCCATATCCCAAATATGATCATAAGATTGGGTTTACCCTCGGGTAATCTCTGGTAACGTAACGTAGTTATGAAAACGCGGTATACCCCAAAAATGCAATTTGAATTTGGACACATGATGGTCAACATTATTTTTTGGCACCATGTTCTTCAGAAACACGTTAATTCAAGCAGTTTAGACAGTTTCCATGAAAATGGGATGTCCGTAGTGGTGTAAGTTCTTTACGTAAGTTCCATTCTTTTGATTTGGGCCATTGGAAGGTTTATGGATCCCTAACTTTTGGCAATTTTTCCTTGGCTCTCTGCTGGAGGCTGATCGGCTGATCCCCAAGGAGCTGTTGTGATTTTTTCTTGGTTGTGTTTGAACCAGAAAGTGAGCTATTACATAAAATAAGCCTGATTGATTGGTGATGTTCAATAGGGAGTTATACTATACCTTATACTGCCTGGCTTGTTGGGGATAGTTTTTACAACCATAGTAGGGGAAATCGTTTTCAAATTTTCAACCAACGAGTGTTTCATGAGATGGGAAACCGGGGTATGGCTTCAATGGCTCTTCTCGGCTTGCGATTGGACCTAGGATTTGGTGAACCTCTTCCACTTGATGGATGATGGTCCGAAAATGGGTGGAGATGGTGTGAAAATGAAAACAGCGATTATTCAAAGTGTACCAGATTAAGTTTAAAAGAGTAAGATTAAGTTTGTACAGTATCCTTCTGGACTTATCGTAGGCGATAAGTTTCTCAGATTTTACTTCCAATACTCGCAAGTCTCAGATTTTGGTTGATTACCAACACACAAAACAGAAACCAAGGATCTAAAGTATCCTCTAGCAATCAAACATAGCCGGCTGCATATGTTTATGTTTATTGGGCAATCAATTGATGGATGTTTGTTTGGGAGAAAATTCGATTGCAAGGCCAGATCATTGGAGGGTAGATGCTAGTCCTGCTGAGTTTCGGCGTTGGAGTTGGCAAGAAAAAACTGCCACAGTCCGAACCGAAGAATATGATGTCACAATTTCAACCCTAAGTGTCCCTATGGAAATTTATGGAACATCCCAGCAATCTTGCTGTCAAACGCTACTCACCAAAAAATGCAAAGATGTCAATTTCGGGCACTATTTACTAGAACCGCCGATGCTGCTCCCAGCTGCGTTGCTAGTCAATAGCAGAAATGTTTGCAGTATCAAGTTTGGTCAACAGATCGGCATCACTGTCATTGCTTGCGTGATGATTCTACAAACCAAAAATGCATCATGCATAGCGTGCCATGCTGTCATTTCATATCTTATTTCACATTGCATCCTTACATTCATACAAACCGTCATACGTAAGTACAATACTGTAGTCAGGCATAGGCATTCAGCCAGACAAACAGACAGTGCTGCTTGGTGATTTCAAACATTCCTGAGTCTTCCCTTCCTCAGAGGACCAAAAGTCCAATGAGCAGATTTGCATGGTCCAACAAACAGGATTTTATCGCAGCAATGGCTTCATCTGAATTGAAATTGTAGACATTAATTTTATAGATAGATAATGATAGATATATTTATCCTAGCATCTTCACTTTGACATACACATCAGAAACCCTTGGTTTCTGACCATCAAATTGCCATCGATTCCTATTCCAATGGATGATCATATATGATCATCATTTTTCTCATGGGCCATTTGGTGTGTGTCCCCAATTTCGAAACGAAATAGAAGATTGTCGGTTTCTGTTGGTTATACATAAGTTATACATCTTATCAAACAGCTCCATGAAACATCTTCCCAGAGTTTCCCACATAACCAATACTTTCCACATATGTATCAATCATGACATCAAAAAATCCATGAATCATCAATATCAATCAATATCAATCATCATTAATCATCATGAATCATCAATAATCATCATATATCACATATTTCCCATAGTTTTCCTTTTTTTTCCTGGGAAATTTCGGAACGCCACGGCACTTTGTGTGTTTTTCACCAGGCGATGGCCGCATCACGGTGGCCGAATTCCTGGAGGGCGCCATTCGGCTACGGGGCCTGGCCAAGAGCGTGGACTTGGCGCAGGCGCCCGGGGCTCCCAGGGGTAGGCCATGATAGGAAAACACGGTGGGTAGAACAATAAACCACCCATTAATCTATGGTTAATCTATGGTTAATCTATGGTTTTTATAATTGGAATAACAATAAATAAACCATCCATTCTCAAATGGTAACCATACCAGCTATAAAAATGGTGATGACTGGGGATAGTTTATGGCATTGTTTTACCCATATTACAATCTGGTTGGTGGTTTGGAACATGAATTTTATTTGTCCATATATTGGGAAGAATCATCCCAACTGACTTTCATATTTTTCGGAGGGGTTGAAACCACCAACCAGTATTAACAAGGTGGTGCCCCCCTCAGTTATAAGTTGGTTTATAATCCCATTCACTAGTTCGATATATCTACCATAAGTCCTAGTTAGTATTGAACATCACCAAACTATTGGGGATATACAGTAATATAATCTCCAACAGATACTTGAAAGTGACTTTCAAAATCTCCAGAATGGTTTATAACTTCAATAACTATGGCTTGTGGTAGATATATCTAAAGTTAATGGGGTTTATAAACCAACTTAGAACTGGGAGGGCACCACCTTGTAGGTAATGTGTGGGTAAAACAATGCCATAAACTATCCCCAAATCACCATAAATAGGTGGTATAAACCATTTGAGAATGGGTGGTTTATTATTTTTTTACCCCACATTACCCCCCAAAATGGAAGGTTTTTAGTGGAAAATCCGCATGACTTAGGAAACCTTCATATGGCTGTGCTTGATAGGGCCGGTATAGCTTGCCCCAATTAAATTGCCATTACTGTAAATAATCACTAACCATTGGGTGGCTACATGGTTTTCAGCATGGTTACTGGTTCAAATGGTAAATGGTATAGACTACATGATGAACCCGTTATCCTAACCAATATTAAACGTTTAATGTTATAATTATTTATGATGGCCATTTTGGAGGTATCAACTATAGTAGGATATTGACATATCAACTAGAGAAAGATGGAAAATCCCATTTACCAAATCCTTGTGTATACGTGTAGAGCAATATAAATATTATATATACACGTAATGTTAAGGCCAGGACGGGGGCTGCAGAGGGCCAGTGTTTTATGCATTTTGGGGTGTCGGCAGATTGCCCAAATGGCTGACGAGATTTGTTTCCAAAAGGCAGCACCCTAAACCCTAAATCCTAAAACCTAAATCTGACATAACACCCAAAGTAAACCTTAAAAGTAAAATCGTTCAAAACCGTGGTAAAGACACTAAACAACATCTAAGAACCCTAAACAAACCCTAAAGAGGACAAACCTCTGAGCGGCACTCCCGGCCTAAGGGCAATATTACATGTATGTATATATATACATGTATATATATATATACATATATATATGTACATATATATATACACATAAATATATATACATATATATATACATACATATATATATATACATATGTACATATACTCAATTAAACATATATACATACATAAGTATATATATATATGTAGAAATACGTGTGCCTACATTTATAAGATGTAAGCATAGTTGTTCCTTTACACACACACATATATATATAATATATGCATACGCATATGTAGGGATATTTATATACAAGTTGCGGTGGGTCAGTTCGATTTATCAATGGGTTGAGAGCAATATACGATACCAAATATTAACTATGGGGATCGAAGCACGCTTTGATGGGGATATCATTTCTCCTTGCGATATCCTTCAATGGCCAATACAAGTGCAACATCTAGACTGACTTTCATAGATGGCCATCGGTGCCCACAATTCCCACGGTTCATTGATTGATGAACAGGAGTATTGCCCTTCCACTTTTCACAAGACATTTTGAGTAAATGATGGTAAAGGGTAGTCACCCAACTGGGCCCAACAGATGTTGTCTACTTAAAGATATCATTGGATAAAATCGTGGATAAGGGCCCCACGAATTACCATTTATGTGCATGTGAAAACATGGTTTCATGCCTAGAAAAGGGCTGGGTTGTACACTTTGAGTGTATCACATCTATTGATTGTTGTTACAATATTTTGTGGATTTTGATGGTTTTGATGCTTGCAACGGACTTGGATGCATCAAGTTTAGTTGGGGTTTCTCCAAACATAACTTTGTTCTTCATAGCCATCCGAGAAAAAATGACGCAATGCAAATCCTAGAGCTGAGCGGCTTAGATGTCTCCGAAAATCGCGTAGTTATACCAGCATTTTTACGGCAGTGTTGGTAGGGAGAATGATGATTCACTAGGAAATTGAGGTGCACCCTAATTTCAGAGTCCCCTTTAGCGAGTATACCCAATACAGTAAATGGGTCTCCAATCTCAACTTTCTCCACTGGCATCATCGCAGCACTGTTAAAGCTATTACATATCTGTGGGGTGTTTGTCGGGCTGCTTTTTGGGTAGGATACCACATACAAGAATGCGTTGTAAAGATATATGGCTATTATATTATTGTATATTTTCACAATAGAAATTTACAATAGAATTGTTGCAAGATCTTCAATCATCCATGAACATACAAACATTATTATATATTCATGCCAATGAAAGTGATGGATGGCATTAAAACCAGTTGATGCAATATCAACTGGTTTGATATTGCTTGTATGTTCAACCACAAGAGATTCAACCACGAAAAACAGGTGCCTATTTACAAGAGCTACTGTTTAAGTGGCATGAATCATCCGTGACTTGGGCTTACCAACATTCTGACTGTCAGAATGCAGCCAGAGTGTTCATATTTGCCTCTGGGTGAATAAAGACCTCGAAATGATGCATATATATATATATATATGTAATATATATATATATGTAATATATATATATATGTAATATATATATATATATATATGTAATATATATATATGTAATATATATATATATATGTAATATATATATATGTAATATATATATATATATATGTAATATATATATATATGGGTGTATTTGGTCCAAGTCTAGTTCGAAATGTCAGGCCCTTGGCGATCCTTTCCCCAGAATCAGTTTGGTGGATAGCTTGGCATGTACTGGTGACTGGTGACTGTCATTTTGTCATCTAGATTGTTTTTCAGGAATGAAAGTGACTCGGGTTTTTTTATACATTTTCATATACCCATCAAGATAACCCCATTCATGTTGGCATTAATCTACCAGCACCATGGAGCCGTCATGGGCTAAGGCCCCTTCAGGGAATTTTCAAGCAAAAAACCAGATCCCCTTGACAAAAATTTCCCTTCAGGGCAACTTCCCTCGATCGACCGACAAAACAGGTGCTGAACACCACGCGTCGCCTGGATGCCAAAATGGAGGCAATGCCGCGGTGTTTTATTGGGTTGTTTTTAACTGATGCACATGATTTTGATATAGAATGTCAATGATGTCAATGTCTCATTTATGATATTTATGTGCAGGGTTGCACCAAAAAACAGGGTTGCCAAAAAATACATGTTTTGCAAGTGGTGGTCACCACAAGCCAGCCATCCCCAATGACTTTCTAGAAATGGGTTTTCCACATCATTCCCAAATGGTCGTTTATTGTTGGGTATGTAAGGCCTATTTAAGGGAATATCCCCACAAAATATGGCCAGAAATATGGTACAGTACCTCCATCTGTTGGATCCTGAAATTACCATTGACGTTCGAAAGCGGCTTGTTTTTAACACATTTCTCTGGGACCTGAAGGTGGGCTGTTCCTTGGCTGCTCTGCCAATGGGATTTTAGCGTTGAGCTGATGAGCAGTGGCTGAAAACAACACCCCTGTTGCCGGGTTGATGATGAGTTCGGTTGGATTATAACTACCCTTGATATATTGGGGATTATAATAATCCAATAAGGGAATTCCTGTAAACCGTTGTACAAGGGAATCATAGAGGGATTTTGAACACTGCTCAATTGATGATACATTGGAGATCATTTGAGATGGGTTTGGGGGGTTGGAGGAGCAGGCGCTGCAGCTTGGACATGGCATGACTTGGCTAGATAGCTAAGTTGGTGAACATCACTCCAACAAAACTATGGTTTATGGCAGATATATATGATATAACTATAGTTAATCGGGTTTATAAACCAACTTATAACTGGGGGGCTATAACTTCTTTTAACTCTGACTCCTGCTTCCTAACCCCGGCTTAAAGGCTTTTAACCACGACTAAAAAGCGTCTTAATCACGACTAGTACCATGCTATTGTATTTAAGTATTTCATTGCATTTCAAAAAAGCAATTTTTGTATGTTCATATACGTGCCTTAATTCTATTTTGTTTTTGGCATTCTTTGTATTTCGAAATACAAGCCAGCAGGAGCTCCCGGCCCTGCAGGCTCTCTATATGGTCCTGAAGGACATGCCCGGGCAGATGCAAAAGCTGGATCGCTATCGGGCCACGGCGCCATGGCCGAAAAGAAATGTGCCAACACGCGATGGCATGTATCGATATACATAAGTATGCAAATACATAATACATACATACATACATACATACATACATACATACATACATACATACATACATACATACATACATACATACATACATACATACATACATACACACACTTGCTACTATTTGTGCCTATATATATATCATATTTACATATCATCCCATCATGCCATGTACATATCTATTAATGATATGTATATATATATTGCTGTGTAAATTCATATATATATATGTATGTATATGCGGTTCAATAATCCAGTTGCCATATGTGCATGTACTGATCACATTTCTTGTGGAGATGCCGGCCTTACAAAGGCATATGATCCTCGAAATATCCCATTGTTCTGGTAGCTTCTGGCGGAAACATCGCTTGGACGATTCCGGAAGTTCCCACTTGAAAACATTGCTGACAATTCAGGAAAGCTCAAGAACAATGGTAAAGCATGCTTGGCTTTTCTCATTTTTACCAACTTACCATGATTCGTTTACCAACTAGAAACCTTCGTTTAGTTCGCGGAGTTTCCATTGAAATGTTTAATTACTAGAGGTAAACCCTTTCCAATTATACATGGTTGGGGTTACAGTTCCATCAATGGGGTTATAACAGTTATAACTGACTCATAACTGACATTTTGTGGCCATAGCTATGATTCCCAGAGGGTATGTAATGGGATGAAGTTCTTTTTTATCTGACTTCTTGAAAAAAATACCCTCTGGTAAACTAACAGTTTGCTATTGAAAATGGCCCAGTCGAAATAGTGGATAAAAACCCATTCAAAATGGTGGATCTGTCCATATAAATCACCATTTTCCCATGGTTTTCCCATCATTTTCCCACAAATAATGGTGGATCTGTCCATATAAATCACCATTTTCCCATGGTTTACCAGAGGCTACAGGGTCTGTTCCATGTGTAGTTCCATTTCTTCGGATCACAGATCCTTTTCGCTCCGTTGGTTCGCCTCTAGGCGGTCACCCGGAGTTCTCGGGCGGTGACGCGTCGCTTGTCCTACTGCCTCAGGCCAGCGTGAGAAACGCTATGACGCTATGGATCTGGAAATGGTGTTTGTTGTACTAAGGACAGGAAGATGATGAACCAGTGGATTCAGAACATGTCAGAACTTTTTTTCCCTATGTTCAGCCCCAAATGTTCCAGGAATGGGTGTTTTTCATGGGGATATATCACAAACTATATTAACTATTTCATAGTTTAAGCCAACAATGCTGTGAGGATTTTTTAGTGAACGACCTAAAACATTTTGATATTATTATGGTTCAATTGGATATGATATATAACCAACTATATCCAATTTACTGGTGGTTTAATGGGTTCCCCGCAAGTAATTTAACGTGGGGAACTGGAAAATCACCATGTTTATGTAATTTTTAAATCATGATAAATTATCGAAATAAATGCGCCATGTTTCATTGCCATGTTGAATAACCAGACGATATTTAATGGGGATATAAACAACTATACATATATATATATATACATATCTATATATACATATCTATATATACATATCTATATATACATATATGTATATACATATATATATATAAATATACATAAATATATACATATATAACTAATGTGGGTCTGTCTGAAAATCGGGGATACTTCCATTGTATGATATCTCAATTGCGAACAACGTGATTCACCAACAGATTTATGGGTACCCAATCTTCAGACAAACTCATTTGGACCTGAAAATGGAACATTAAACCAACAAAGATTACCCTTTGGTAATCAAACATGGCAATGGGAAGTCCCTCCATTTGTCATGATCATCAATCTATTAATAGGGGAGAGAAACCATATACCATGGCACACACGGAGGTTTAGATGGGAAGATCATCAAAGTAAATGGAGCATTTTCCAGTGCCATGTTTGATTACCAGAGGGTATCAAAACCAACCACAGTGATCATGTAATGGCTATAGACTAGGATACAACCACTATGCGATCTCTGTGTCTGATCATGGACGGTATACCCCCGATGTCGAAGATGAATGAACATGATGATAAACATTTTGCATTTGCTCGCTGAGTACTACATTTTTATACAGTTCCAAATGGCCCTGAAAAAAATGGAGAACATGTTTTGACAAAAGCCATGGTGTGCAAACGGGATGGAAAAGAGCATGATACACCACATATGTCAGCATGTGTCTAGATATAGAATGATATAAATTTAAAATTTGACATTCTATATCTAAAGTTTTTTTCTGTTAATTTTATATGAAGGACATTCATAAATTCTATATAGAACATTCTCTTTAGATTTAGAATTGATGTCCTGTTTGTTTTTTTCTCCATCTGTTTCTGAAGTTCGTTTTTTAGCTACGTTGAGCTAC